TATGCAAGGCTTCTCTTGTAGAAATGAACCTTGAAACCTCAGTGCAACAATGACAAAAAAGATTTGTCCAGAATTCTCTGCAGGAAGCATTTTTGATATTGTTGTAATTTTACAAAAAAATTACTAAGCTTTATGGAGCTTACCTAAGCCCACAGTGAAACTGCAAACTCGGACTGCTTGAACCCTGTCCTCCAAATTCAGAGGTCTTACGTAAAAGCAATCTCATTTTCATTTTGCTTCTGGGAACCCCTCCAAGGCACAGTGAATTGCCAGCTTTTTGTGACCTTCAGTTCCTTAGCTGCTCCCAAGGGAAACTTGACCTTAGAACTGTAGAGAGAAGGGGAATAATTTTCAATTTGATGTGGGGCAGGGGCACAGTTTCTTTCTCTCTGTTTGCTCATTGTCCAATGCTTAATGTTCTCCTGTACCAGGATCCTTAGAGCCTCTGAGGTCACAGAAATGGGTGCACCCTAAAGTAAGGATGCAGACAACAAGAATGTCAGGTGGGTTGGAGATCCAGGCAGCCAGGAGCGGTTCCCAGTGAGGCATTAGGAATAAGAAAACACTCAGTGCGCTCTAGAGGCACAGCTGATGCTGGGCTCCGTGACTGCTCAGAGTGCTGTCTGTAGGACAGAAATGGGATTCATGGGGCACAAGAATTCCTCCTGTCACTTCAGTTAGTTTCTACAGGGATTGCAACTATACCCATGGTGGTTTCCCAACCTGTAGGAGGACTTCCTTAGGTTCTCTACCATTTGGTAACTGCTTAACCCCCAAGACATCTGTCTGGTTATAGAGTTAACCAATAGAGGGTTTGTGTCTATCAGGAGACTCCGTGGGTCTCTTGACTCCAACCCATGTATCCTGTCCCACAGGCATGCAACATATTAGAGGACAGTGGTTTCTCACCAGTGGTTTCTCCCAGCAATAATTCCTTTGATATCTTACTTAGCTCGTGGGCACATGAGTTTGAAAGATTTTTACCTTCTAAGCAGTTTTTATTAAGAATTAGTGTCTTTATTTTCATTACTCAATGAAAATAGAGTAACACCATTTCCCACAATGATTTGATATAATACCTAAGCAAAGCAATTAATATTTCAGTAAGTCTTTGTAGTCCGAGAACAGACTGTGTAGACATTTGGCATTTTAATTCCTGAAAATTGCTTTGTGCCCATACCCACTATTTGCCAGTCTTAGGAATCCAGAGACTGACTTATGTGTTAGAAAAAAAGAGCAAATAATTTGGAGTCCCAAGATATGGGACTTGTTAGCTGAGTGATGTTGAAAAGGTCACTCAGCTTTATCGAGTCTCAAGTTCTGAAAAACTACCATCTGAAAATGACACCCTCCTTACAGGATTGTTATAAAGATTAAATAAAACCATACAGGAACATTTTGTCATATTCAGCCTTCTCAAAGATAGAAATTTGACAGCAAAAATAAACTTAAAAAAATCGTGGTATCTATAATAATAAAAGCATAATATGCTAATTAGACCAGATGACCTTCCAGATGAAGCTGGGGCTGTGAAGGAAGTCTGGGTCTGGGGTATTGGAGGATAGCCAGTGCTGGCAGCCGGGGGAAGGAAGGCCTACTCTTGCACAAATTTTGTGCATCGGGCCTCTAGTAATATATAAGATATTTGTTTCTATGTTGCATTAAAATCAAATAAACAAAAAAATGTTTATAAACTAGAAGATAAGAACAATATTCCCTCACAGCTTCAGAAAGGGATCAAAATGCTGACTTGTGGGGAATTGTTAGTGTGCGTGTGTGTGTGTGTGTGTGTGTGTGTGTGTGTGTGTGTGCGTTTTGTAGTTCCTTTCCTGGATGAGACAAATATTAGTGTTGAGTTTTATGCTGGTACAGGATCAAGAATACCTGCAGAGGAGGTAAAAAATGTATGCTTTCAGGATCCAAGCAAGTAAATTAGAAAGGACTCCTTACTCTTTTACATTTAGAATACAAATAGTATAGCTACTGTTGGGTGGTAAGTTCTCCCAGAGAGAGTGCTAAAAAACATGGGCTTTGGAGTCCAACAGACTCCAAGTCAAACTTCACCTCTTCTTACTAGCTCATGATTTGGGCAAATTGCATACATTTGTTCTAAGAATTAAATTTAAAAAATGTAGGTAAAAAGGCAGTGGTTCATTTCCTGGTCATAATAAGCACTGGATAAAGGTAGAATGGTGTTATGAGTCCTTGTATTTCAGCTTCATTTTTTTTTTCTCTTTAATCTAATGCTTCAGTCAACAGAAAGGATAGCACGTGAGTCGAGTTCTGGCAGGGTCAGCAGTATTAGAAAAGGGGACTCTTGGACTTGGTGATGCAAGCCCTATTTGTCACGCCTTTGCTAGCATACTCTTAGGTATGCATGAGGCATGTCAGTGGAAAAAAAAGGAACCCTTTGTTCAAAAATGTTTAGCCAACCACATTTCATGATGGCATTTCTTTATCTTGGTTTTGTAAATGCTCAGGAATTGTGGCTGCTTTGAAATTTCTGCCAGAAATTTCAGGGATTTTTTGATGCATCAGAACAAAAATGAAATGGGGTGGGGAGCAGAGGAAGGCTTGTTTCTGCACATTACTCATTTACCTGTTAGATGGCACCAACAAGCCGTTTGGACTCTAAGCTGACACGGGTCTCTTTGGGTTTCAGGTACTGCGAGCTGTGATAGGATAGACTGTTGACGGTTCCCATACTTGAAGCCTCGCTCTGCCCAAATCCCTTGGATTTAGTGGAGTCGGTATTAACTGAAGTGAAAGGACGTAGCAATTAAATTCTTGAGTTCCCAGATAAGGCTGGGGATGGTGTCATTTCTTTCCCTGGAAATAGTTCAGATGCACTTTAGTTTGGCTCACGGACCTACATCTCTGGAATATAAAGAGGCAGGGATGTAGCCTGAGAATTGCCTGGGTTTACTTAGAAAAATATTCCTAATTACTTAGGGAGACTCCAGTGACTGCCACTACCAGGAATTTTTCCCTTTGTTCTCCACCGGTCCCTCCCCTTACCTCATCTCAAAGAAAGTAAGTCTAGTCCAATGCTAGCCTTTTGGCTACAGCTATATCCAGCCAGCCTGGGTACGGTACATCAAGGACCCGTGGAGAATCCCCACCCCAGTGCATGCTCCTGGGTCCGCTTAACTCCGTAACCACATGGGAAAGCGGCAGTGAGAGTGAGGCAGAGCTGAGTAGAATCCTGGCTCAGCCTCTAACAGCAAACTTGGGCAAATTAATTGACTTCTGATTTCTAACCTCCTAACACGTAAAAGGAAAAATAATCTCCCCTTCCCCCACTTAATAGCCACTTTGCATGAAATGGGAAGAAAAACTGGATATATTCTCAGGTGCCACCCGTGTTTTGGCCTTGAGCTAGATGCTGCACTGAATGACCAGGTCAGGCCTGAGTGTCTGTCTGTCCCTAAGGCAGCCTGCAATATAGTGGGAAACTGGCCAATGTATTTGAATGCCCTGGCGCCCTTCCCCCTCTTCATAACCGCTTCCATCACTTGCCTTATCTACAAACATTCTCTAGAGACTGGCCAGACAGGACTTAATATCTCCACAGAAATCTACCAGTTTTCCATGGTTCTCCACCACATTCCTGGGAGTTAGCCACAGACTCACTCCAGAGCTCGCATGGGGTTTGTGCCTGCGCCACACTCTGCAGTGGCCTTGCTTGCTGCCTCTGGTTAACTGCATGAGCCACATAAAAATTCCTGCCACAAACCTCAGCAAAGGGGATGCACTTCAGTTCCATAAATGATTGACAAAAATAGTGTCAAACTTTACCTCCGCTAATACACGGGCCAACTCCTTCCCTAAAGGGAGTTCAGAAAAACAGGGCCTCCCTACCACCAGGCCTCTAATCATTAAACGAACCAGAAACCATTGCTTAGGCCCGACAAATATACATGGTGACAATGTGACAACCATTCTAGAGGAGTTATATGCAGACCTAAGGAAGAGTGGACCATGTTCCTTAGAAAATAACACATTTTTAGAAAGTGTAGACTTGAAGGGGAAAGTTCATGTTTTTTTTTATGATTAATCTTTTTCTTCTTCAAAAATCCCTTAGTAACTTATCCTACAGATAGTCGGTTTCTTCCCATTGACTTCCAATCGCAGAGGAAGCTCCTCCTAAACCACAACCTCTTGTGCCTGAGGCGATAGTAGGTCTCTCTGATTTGTGCTTGAGTCTCATTCACGTTTGTTTATTGTGGAGACAGGAAGGGACCTGTGGTATTTACTACTCAGATAAAATTGTGCTCTAGTCAGAGAAGAATATGAGCTATAGCGTCAGAGAAGGGCATCTTCAATCAATGCTGCCTTGTGTCTGTTCTATAGAGAGACTCTGTCAGGCAAGGCTTTAGTGGTCCTCCATCAAAGGTAGGAAACAGCCCTGCGTCAGTAAATGATTGACCCGGCTGCCCTGGCTGATAAGCTTAGGCAAACAGGCTTGATTTGCTACAGCAGTTTCAAGATTTTAACTCCCTGGGCTCCAAAGCAGAAAAATGCACATACCTTCCTGGGAGATCCTATCATCTGAGATTGACAGCCCTGTGCAGGAACAGCTCGTTCCTCAGAATTATGTATAAAATTTCTGGTATATATTGAAATTGGAAAGAATTCATACAAGCAAAATTCTGGAACAAAACCACGTTCGGAGAACTGAATGATGGAAGAATTTCAATAAATAAATAATATGTTTTTTTTTTGGTTTTTTTTAAATAAAGAACGATAAAAAAAACTTTCCAAAGTTTCAAACAACAATTTTGTAGAGGAACAACAATTTTCAAAGGAGAGAGAAGATGGAAGATAACTACAACCCACTTCCAGGACATGCTTGAACAAATGACTGAATTCTCTGGACACACACCCACATCTACCACATCAACCTCAGCGGACCATCATCGGACGCTCTGGCTACAAGACTGGGCAAAATGCTGGTTCTGTGATCTTGAGAAAAGGGGCTGCGATCACAGATCACCTACCTTGATTGCGGAATTAAATTAGTCTTTTCTCAGCTTCCTTCTTGACTTTGCAGTGATAGCCACGATTGTCCCAATCCTTGCTGAAGAGTTTCAGATGTTGGGAAGAAGCGTCTGCATTGGGCTTCCACTTTTCCCCCAAATTGAGGAGTTCTCCTCCGTTTCCTACCCCACTCTCTCTGGCTCCTGCAGACAGTGGTCACGGGCTGTAACTTGCTTGCAGCCAGGTATGTTGACAGATGTGAAGGAGGGAGGCCGTACTGGTCTCAGCTGCCTGGTCTGGCCAATCATTACACACCAGGCCAGGCTTAGTCCTGCTCAAACCTGACCAGAGATCTTGGTGACAAAAATAGATAGCAGAACTGTGGGAGGGTCTGTTAGCTATGGACTGTCCAGAAAAGCAATTTCCTTGCAATTGGATCTGTGAAGTATAAGGGAAGAAAATACCTTTTATTTCACTCCTTTTTTAAAAAAATGTATTTTTATTGATTTCAGAGAGGAAGAGGGAAGGAGAGAGATAGAAACATCAATGATGAGAGAGAATCATTGATCGGCTGCCCCCTGCATGCCCCACACTGGGGATCGAACTGTTATCTCCTGGTTCATCAACCACTGAGCCGTGCTGGCTGGGCTATTTCACTCCCTTTAATGTTAGCAATATCAGAAGGGAATTAGGAGGTCACTATCAAATCTTTCATTTAATAATGGAGTTTCTTCTATTGAATTCCTGTCATGTGAGAATCATCTGAAAGTTCCTTTATCAAATAGGGCTGCCATTTAGCTATAAGGCACTATATATGTTAGGTATTTTTTATGGTTTACCACAAACTGTCATAATTACCTTGAGATTTTATTCCTATTTTATGGTTAAGGGAACAGAGGCTCAAATGGATAATGGTCATGAAACGAGTAGGTGCTGAAGCCAGGATTTGAACTCAAGTCTGCTTAAAAATCAGTACCAGTGTCAAAGCACTTTCTACAATTCACTCTGTGGTTGGCTGCATAAAAGTCCCCAAAGATGTCCATGTCCTAATCCCCAGAACATGAGATGTCATCTTACATCATAAAAGGGACTTTGCAAATGCAATTAAGGATTTTGAGATGGGAGACTATCCTGGATTATCCAGGTGGGCCCAGTGTATACTAAAAGGCCTCTTAAGAGGTCAGAGTCAAAGAAGATGTGATAAGAGAAGCAGAGTCAGAGGGAGATTGAAGATGTCACGCTGCTGGCTTTAATGATGGAGTAAGGAACCATGAGCCAAGGAAGGTAGCTTCGAACTTGAAAAGGCAAGGAAATGGATTTTCTTTTAGAGCCTCCAGGAGGGACATAGTGCCAGCCCAGTGCAGACTTCTGAGTCCAGACTTGAAAGGTAATACATTTGTGTTATTGTAAGTCACAAAATTTACGAGAATTTGTTATATCGGCAACAGCAAACTGATACACGCACTCCCAGAAATACTCTTTGTGATGGTGAGCTTACTCTCTCACTTAGCATCCATTCCACATAAGAATACTCTTTATTAAACAAAGCTCCCCTTTTTGTAATGGCAACTCGTGGGTTCTACCTCTTCCTGCACATCAGGCACTTGGGAGGCAGCTGGAAATGATGAGAAAAAACACTGGGAACGGACTCAGAGCCCGAATTCTAGTCCCAGCTCTGCATTAGGCCACACAGTCTGACTTTCCATTTTCTCTCCTATAACAGCGCCTGGACAAATGTTCTTTGGTCACTTCCACATCTAAAATCATAAGATTCTAAAATCTCAGTCATGTAACAATTTGAAAATATTTGAAGATATTCCTGTCACTTTTCTCTCAATCTTTTGCAAGCTCAACATCCCCAGTTTCTCATGTGATATAACTTCTGGACCTTCCATTCTCCTAGTTGCCCTTCTGGAAGAAGGGTCCAATGTATCAATTTCCTCTGCAATCTGTGCATGGGACCCGGCCATCCCCCCATGTCTGCCAGCGTGCCCGGTTTCTCTGGCTCTGCTACCACCCTCTCTTGCTTGAGCCCTTGTCATGATCCTTAGGATCCTTTGGACTTGGCTTAGTCAGTTCCCTTTTATCTTATGTTATCCAAACTTGCTTCTTAAAAGAGAGCTCTAAAGTCAATAAATGTCTTAATTTAATTTTTGCTTGTAACAGGAAGGACCATGGCATTGTGGTGCTAGTCTAAATTAGCTCATGGTCATTCTCATAGGCACTTGAAAGGCAGTGGTTCGCAACTTTTAAAGATCATAGATTTCTTTGAGAATCTAAGGAAAGCTATGGATCCTCTACCAGAAAAAAAGTGCACATATATCTAAAATGTTGTGTGTTATTTCAGAGCATTCTGGTCCCCCTGAAATGGTCCACCAACCCCTATGATGTGTGGCAAATTAGTTCTACACCCACAAGTTTGTTGGTGAGAGAAGCTCTTGCAAAAGGCAATCCAACAAGGCAATCTGTCTTTGTCCAGATCCCCTTATAATTCATGGAGGCCTAGAGAGGATTCCATGAGCCCTGAATTGGGCAAATACCCAGTGAGGACCAGGGCAGGAGAGTATTCAGGCCAAAAAGCAGAGAAGTTCTCAGGTTAAACAAAGAACAGCTTTCAGTGGCCTCTTTTCGCAACAAGAGCTCTGCTTCTTAGAGCTTTTCTCCATAGAATGAAACTATTCTTTAGACACCAGGACCCTTATATTAAAGCCATCTGCTCGCCTAAGGCTTCTCTGGATTGCATGATGCTGCTGGACAGAGGCTAACACCCTCCACTCCCCACACCCCCCATGCTATCCCCAAACACTACCCAGCTGTGCAAACACGCTGGTCTGACTAGCATGTCTGTTTTACTGGCACTCGTCCAGGCCATCCTGAGTGAGGCTGAGGCACATGGACTTTGGCCACTGTCCCTCTCTGAGAAGGAAAGGTTTCATGTCTTACAATAATATCACTCCTCTGGTCACAGTGAGCAGATATGCAGAGATGTAAACAAAGAGACATACCGCTGAGTAAGAAGAATTCCTTTGGGGGGAAAAAGCAACAATAAAAATCCAGAATACTCAGGCATCTTCACCTCAGGGATTCACAGAAAAGGAATCACTTTCCAAGTGGAAAAAACAGGGTTTGCTCTCTGTATTCCATGGGAACCTCAAAAACAGTCTATGAGACTGAGCGACTCCCCAACTTCCCCCCTCCCCTGTTTAAACTGCAGCACAGGACAATATGGAGAGAGGATACCTGAGTGTGGACTTCTACAGGGAACATGGAGAAAGTTCCCTTATGAAAGACTAGGTGACTTTCTACCCCAAATAGCAGTTCGTGTATTTAAAGAGCACAGCCAAACCCAATTCTTGGCAAAAGTGTGCAGTAGAATCAACTACATTTTTTTTCCAGCTTGGAAAGGATCCTACACTTAGGTCACTTCCATAGCTTCTATAGAATAGACTCTTTAAAAAACTCAAGTTTACTTTGAAAGGAAATTTTATATCACTATTGACAAACCCAGGATCACTTCTACAAAGAGACGGTAACCACAAAATAAACACAATATAAACAATATGATAATAAACGTAGTTGGATGCTATTGTCTTTTTTTGTATTTGCTAGATAAACAAGGGCTAGAAGGGTTTCATCACTAAGCTAAGGCATGCCTGTTAGATAACAAGAATGAGTAAGTGAGCAATGATATTAATGCTATGCAAGGACATGGCCATCGTCCATCCCACGTCATCTTGCCGACCACCAGTGGCATGGATCCCACTCTCTGAGCAATGCATACAGTGATTGTGCAACTTTCTCTTTCGCCATCTGAATTTATCTGCTTTGTTTCACATGACTGTACTTAATTTTTGCTAAATCATTCACCAGTTAAACACAATCAACCATGTCGAAGGGATTGTGTTGGGTGATATTTGGTGGGGGTGGGTGTAAAGCCCCCACCCCTACTACTAAGATTAGTAGTTACTCTTGAGGATTTATATGGCCAATAACACAATGTGCATACAAACAAAGGAGAAGTGCCTGCTCCCGTTTTATATTTATTATTAGGTTTAAGCTTATTTAGGTAGTTCAAGTCAAATACAAAGAAATGACATCATATCAGCATATCGATTGAACTTTTTCACAGTTAAAATGAGGTAATCTGGCTTTACAATGTTTTAGTTTGAATTAAGCAGTATAATCCAGGTTACAAGACAGGAGAGGGAGATATTTGAACAATTATTTCCTAGGGGAGAAAAGCCATGTGAAATGTGTATGAATAAGATAATTAGGCCACAAAATACATTTCGGAGTATCAAGCAGCATATATGTAAAATTTTAATTCTAACCTTAAAATTGGTATAATTTACTATTATTATTTTGCACAATTTAGCTAATGGCATGCACTGTAATATAAAACAAGCATAGCGGACAAAATATAATATCTAATAGAACATTTTCAGATTCATGTATCATCTGAATTGACCAGACTTATTTTCACTATGACAATCTCTGTACAGTAGTCCAACCTTATGCAAGGCTTTGCTTTCCATGGTTTCAGTTACCCGTGGTCAGCAGCAGTCCAAATAAATTAAATGTAAAATCCCAGATATAAACAATTCATAAGTTTTAAATTGCACAGTTCTAAGTAGCGTGATGAAATCTCAAGCCATCCTGTCCAGGATATGATTCACCCCTTTGTCCAGTGTCTCCATACTGTCCACGCTACTTGCCTATCAGTTACTTAGTAGCCTAAGCTTTCAGATTGACTGTCGCAGTATTGCAGTGCTTGTGTTCAAGTAACCCTTATTTTACTGAATAATGGCCCCAAAATGTAAGAGTAGTCATGCTGGCAATTCTGATATGCCAAAGAGAAGCCACAAAATGCTTCCTTTAAGTGAAAATGTATGTATGTGTAGGAAAAACACAAAGCATATATAGTTCATTACTATCCATGGTTTCAGGTATCCACTGGGGATCTTAGAACATATCCTCTGTGGATAAGGGGGGGGGGGGGCTACTGTATTTTTAAAATGCTGATCAGTGAGGTTAAGTATTACAGTTGGCATATATACTATATATATGCATACACAATACAATAATGCAAACAATCTATATGTAATACTTATTAATTGGTGTATAAATTAGTAAGTATAATAGCAGCAAGGTACCACTGTCTCTAGACTATGTACTAAGATTTATCATATTGATATTACAGATTTATGACTAAAGTGTTATTAGTGTTATAAACTAATAACAAATGTAAAACTGCAAATGTTCAAAGCTGCCAAAGGCCCATTTGACTTTTCAAAGTGCTGTGCTTCTTGTTGGGCTCATAGCTTGGGGGCAAGCCCCTGATATCTGAATAAAGTACTGGCCCCAAGTTCTGGGCTCCAATCAGGGACAGTTCTAGTAACTGAGTAGAAGCAGGGAGGGGAGCTGGATAATGCATCTGAGAAGAGTAAGGAGCTAAAACCACTGTGATAAGAGTGTGTTTGGACATTGTTGAGTGTATGTGCCTTTTACTGTAAGTTTTGCCAGCATCCTGCGATTCACAGTAATCAGCAGATGACAGAGGATGGCCAGGAAACAAGAGGAGAAAGTGGTATTCTTTGAAGGAGATAGAAAATGGCTCTAGGTCAGCCGTGGGCAAACTACAGCCCGCGGGCAGGATCTGGCCGTTTGAAATGAATAAAACTATTGAAAAAAAAGACCGTACCCTTTTATGTAATGATGTTTACTTTGAATTTATATTAGTTCACACAAACACTCCATCCATGCTTTTGTTCTGGCCCTCCGGTCCAGTTTAAGAACCCATTGTGGCCCTCGAGTCAAAAAGTTTGCCCACCCCTGCTCTAGACCATTGATGGAGTTGTCTTAATAGACTATGGGATTGAATTCCCAATGAAGAGAAGAAAAACATTTCATCCAAACGATGTGGCTTAGCAACGAATTTGGAAAGCCCTAAGAATAAGGTTTGTTGGAGAAAAGACTAGAACACTATGTCCACTGCAGGATAGAAGGAGTTATCTTAGAGTGCTTCCAGTGTCTAAGGATGTGGTACTTCAACACCATGGCATTGTGTGCTGCGTTCTCTGGGTTAGGGCCAAGCCAGTGACATAATGTCCTTAGCATCATTATTTCTAGCAGGAAGCTGAGGAACCTTGGGGCAGTAAAGAGCTGTTTAGCATCGATTGGAACTAAGGGTAAAGCTTCCAGTTAAATCACTTATCACCCAACCAATCCACTCCTTGTGTCCCAAGACGACATGTGTGAGTGACAAAGCCATGGCAGCAAATAGCAGGAAGCAGTCTGAGGCAGAGGGCCAATATGTACTGGAAAGTTAGTGGAATTTGGAGGGACAGCCATGTTCTATGCCATACAAACCAAACTTCTTTCACTGTGGAGTTTGATGTTAACATTTCTATACACCTCCTCCTGGCATACCATGACTACTTGGTGTGCACTGGGGAACGCCCAACTCTCAGGTGTTCACATACACATTGGCAGATTTCTTTCAGCCCCGCTCATCTCACTGTTCACATCACTAAAGGCGCCGTTGTTAGAAAATTTCCATCTAACGGTGGCACCTTTGAGAAATGAACCCCAGTAGCATTTCTCCACATATGCACACAAAGAAGAATCACAACTGTACACCTGCTTAATATATAGCATTTAACCTCACCGTTAGAGACCTGACGCTTTGGGGAGCTGCTTGACCAAGATTTGCAAAACAGCACTAAAGTAGCAGGCTGGCATCTTTTTTCCAGATGGAAGAACAAGGCAGATTTAGCTCAGGATCACTTCCTTGCTGAGGCCGGGGAGGGGGGCCTCATGCCTGTGCCCCATTCATTAGCCCGTTCTGTTTCCCAGAAACTAACAGTAAACATCTGCAGTCAGCCAAGAGAGAACGTGACAAAACTCCAACTGCAGCATGAACTAACTCTGTCAGATGGTCTGGATTTGCGCAGCCCTTTTGCTTCCCAGGAAAACAGGTGGTTTCATTGCAGTCTTCATTCCGTCTCCACCTTTAGCTTTGGGTTAAGCCTTTGAGTTGGGTTGCCACAACGTCTCAATGGGGAGCACTTTCTTATGGTAAGATTCAGAAAAACAGAAATAGAAAATACTGTTTCACCACAAAACTGCATTTAACTCTGGAGTGTTCCACCACATAGTCTTCTTAACAGAAACACAAACTTTGTGAGATGAGGAGATGAGAGAAAACTAGGATTCTGAAGATCGATCATTTCTGGGACCTGAATCTTGTGCTTTTCTTTGAGTTTATAGAAAATCCTGCTTTAAACTGTGACTTAATGGTTCTCAAGAATACAGGGGTCTGGGCTCAGCACTAAGGAAAGTAACTAAATTTAACTACTAGAGAGTCTGATACATAAGGTAGATGATATTTTTTGGCTTGACCCTTTAGATCTGCCATTAAATTACAATTTTAATTTTCGATCATTTCTCATTTCACCCGTTCTATCTTGACTTCTCTCTCCAAACCTAAGAATATTTTCTGTACCCATGAAACTACCGCGGCACCTCTAATAGGCTCCAAGCTCAAGCCTTTCAACTCTGCTGTAATCTAACTGAAACCTGTAATGGTCCCCTTGGCCACGTGGCAAATGGTCCAGGGAGCTCATAAAAAATTCAGTCTACTTTTCAGGATAACCATGGCCCTGAATCCTAACATCCGCTTTTGGATCAATCAAGTAGCTTTTTAGCTGATCTTGAAGTTAATTCTGAGTACTAGTAAATAAGATAAACTTATCTGATCAGAAAGGTCCCTAGAGCTTGTGAGAATAAGTGATATGGTCGGGTCACCATTTTTATTGGTGGCAGAGGCAGAATGAGTCACAGAACTCAAGTCTGTCCCACCACCGAGTCTCCTGCTTGGCCTTCTGTCAAGGAGCAGAATGCACACACCCCTTATCATACATGGAGCAACTCCTTCTTGGGGCAGACATTTTGCTAATTCAAGGGTGTTTATCAAGGGCGAGCTGTACATAATTCTCCTTCTACCTCCCAGAACTCCTGCGCAGGATTTCAAAATGGAAGTCAGGCTGCCACCCACAGCAGCGCGAAGGAGCGAGCCCCTGCACTCGCCATGCAGAGCGGGGCTCCGTGCACACGCCCTCGGTACCGCGGGCTGTGCTCTTTGTCATGCTTGGTGACTTTTCTCTCAGCATGCAAACACTGCGGTGCAGTTAAACGGCACAGCCCAAGTGCAGCTATATATTTTAAAACTAAAGGGAAAAAAATCAAGTAAACATTTCACTGAACAGTCAGCAGCCCTTGAGTGTCACTGGTATCCTGTGTAGACACCTGTCACACACCTGGCCTCGTAGCACCAAGCACCTGGACAAAGCTGAGGCTCAAATAAAACAGAGAAGAAGAATTCTCCTCTTGCCTCCTTATCTCTTTGCCAAGTAACAAAGGGTTAAAGAGGGGAACTGATCTAGTCCCTAGCAATTGAGCATGAATTAAACACAAGACCCAAATGAAACAATAACAACAAATAAAACCCTGAGGGTGGGCCAGGGATTTCAGAGCTCATCACTGGAGTTTAATATCAGAATTGAAGGGAAATGGAGAAAGTGAGGGCACTCACTTCCTTACTCCTTTCCATAGAAGGTCCTAAAGAATTTGACAATAAAATCTCAGAAACCTCTTTGGAGGAGCTCAAATGTAAGAAAAGTTAATGCCCAGAAGAGGCATTTGTGTTATGACCTCCTCAAGCTGTGGAAGCTAAAGGTCAGGGCTTAAATTCCTTCACAGGGAGTAAAGGTTGGAAGACCAAGAATTGGGGGTGTGCATGTGCTTTTAGTAGCAACTCTAGGATACCCCCCACTGCAGGCAGCATGCAAATCCAGCCATGAGCATTGAAAAGTAGAAATGGGAAACTACTGGGAGGTGGTCCAACAATCTGTATACATGCACACAGCCACCCAGGATTGCATGCTTATCTTTTCTCCTTTAGAACCTGGAAGCTAACACTTCCTTAGAGATTCTCAGGCAGTTCTTAGGAGCATCGAAGTGCACGCATTCCCATGCTTGGTTTTCTTCCTGGCTGCTTTCTTTTCAATCCTTTTCTGGAGGGTCTTCCTCAAGAACTGAGAGTTCTTCACTACTCTTTTCATCATCTGCCCCAGTGCGTGGCTTGCGAGTGGCTTCTCAGATCTGGACCACGCCCACACACGAACCCCGTCCGCCCTCTTGACTGAGGAGCCAGGACATCTACAGCAGAGTCGCAGGTCACTCACAGTCCTGAGATGCATGGTCCTGCTAAGGAGGAAGACCATGGCAGCATCGGGCCTGGGTGAGAAAGTTCAGGAAGCTCCTTGGTGAGTGCTCATGAGGTAAGAAGCACTGAAGATACTTAATCTATAAATAAATAAGTGAATAAATAAAACACAAGAGAGCTTTTTATGGATAAGCACCTCTTATCAATAATAAAAAAAAAATCCCCTTGTGAGTTTCAAAGCCCTCATGCAGTGGTGATTACTAGGCTCAGCACAAGGAAGACACAAACTGGAAATGTTCCAACACTGGGTATTTCTCACTCAACGACATCCAAGTCATCCTAAATGTCCCCCGAGGTAGTCTTGTTTTCAAGGAGTTACAGAATGGCTCCAAACTCACTTGGCGGGTCCTCCTTAAATCCGTTGCACTTTCCATGCATCCTGTGTCTGCCGCTGCGGTGTCACAGACAAGCTCTCTTCCATTAGCATTGTGTCCCATGGCATAGACCCGAGTCCAAGGCAGACAACAAAGAAATGCAACTCCAAGATCTGGCTTGAAGATCCTACTCTGAAGACGATTTTGTCCAAATGATGGAGGTGCTTACCTGGCAGCCATTTTGGGAAAAGCTACAGAATTAAACTTTTTAAAAAATCTGGCGTGCAACAAACATGCATGTTTGTCTATTGTTGGGCCCCACAATGAAAATATCTCTGGTCCTTGTTCCTTTCACTTTTAAGAAGAGGCCAAAACAAAGAGAAAGGAATCAATGCTTTAAAAGTGGGAAACACATTTCTGACACCAACGGCAGTCTGCACTGTTTATCTGAAGAATGAAGTTGACTAATTACCAAGGATAAGCTATGCAAGAACAGCTTGTAGCTGAAATACTTTGGTGATAAATGTCTTACTCTCTCAGGGATGAAGTGGTGACATTCAACATGTCTAGAGAGAACTGGTGCTTGGCCCTTTCTCCCCTCAAAGCCCAAGCTTGATAGTAGAGCCACCGCACAGGGCAGTCTACACCTACAAGGAGTCATTCTTTTGACCAGGAATGCTTTTCTGGTTCAGTTTTCTCACTGACTCAAACACAACATCCTGGAAGACAAAAGGGAACTAGGCCTAGTGGGAGGACACACAATACCCCAATGTATCTTGGAGACTCCATTTCCATATAACATTCAACATCATAAACCATTGAGGAGATCCTCTCCTCGATCTCATGAAACATGCTTTCTTCCCTTGGACTTAAGTTTTTCAAAAGTCTCACTGGGAAAAATGCAATGAAAAGATCTTCAATTTTATCCAAATGGCCCTGTGAGGAGGGGAAAAAGAAAAAACATCCTCCTTCTCCTTCTATTCACTTCACCATCACTGCCCAGGGGCCATCCTAACAGAAAACCCTTCAGAACTCTAGCCTGGATCAAAAGATTCAATATTAAGATAAATAAAAATTGAATCAGCATTTAGCCAAAGCTCTATCCTCCTGTAGGAGGTCATTCAATTCAATGACAGTCGTGGCAAAGTCCACCAGGTCCACAAAGTCAGACGTGATGATGTTGACACCCATGGTTCCAGGCTTCTGAGTTTTTACCCAGTCCAGGATGACAGGAAGGTTCCTACACAGGGAGAATGTTGTGGGGGAGAGAAGAGAGAGTAGAGTTTAGAAGAACTCCTCCAGTAATAGAAACAAAACATTTCCCTTAATGTAACAAGAGTATACCAATAAAAACTTGAGCACCCAGAATTAGTCCATTTAAGCTTCATATCTCTTTCAGGGACAAAGTGATGTCTAGTCCACTAGAGAATTGTACTTTCAGGGTTTCTGTGCTGGAAGAGGATATTAACCTCAAAGAGATCCATGTGAACAGGACCTTAAAAACTAAATATCAAAAGCTTAATGATTAGTAGGTTATTTTTATCATAAAATTTTTTATCATAAATCACTGAAAGAAATTTACAATAAGCATATCCACCATGTAGGTTTTACTAGTAACATTTTACTATACTTGCTTATCACATATCTATCCATGAATCTGTCACTCTATCTTTCCATCAATATATCTTATATTTTTGACAGATTCCAACTGCTAACGGCTATACCCATCCCCCAAACACCTCAGTATTCATATCATTAACTAGGGTTCCATATTTGTTTACAAGTTTTCTTTTGACATAAAATTTATATCCAGTAAAGTGCACAAGTCTTAAGTGTATACCAGTTGAGTTTTGACAAATGTATACACAGAACACATACCCATATCAAGATTTAGAACAGTGATTCCCAAAGTGGGTGCTACCGCCCCCTGGTGGGTGCTGCAGCGATCCAGGGGGGCGGTGATGGCCACAGGTGCATTTGTTTTAACTTTTTTTGTATTACCTTTCTATTCTGAGTTCAATAAATAGTTTCATAATTTCAAACTTCAATGTTTCCAATTTACACCTTTCTTTACTATATTTTACGAAAAAGGTAGAAACATTAATACATATATTTCTGTTTAATTGCTATTAAAACTTAAAAAAAATTAATTTCCAGGGGGCGCTGAGTAATATTTTTTCTGGAAAGGGGGCGGTAGGCCAAATAAGTTTGGGAACCACTGGTTTAGAACCTTATCAGCACCCCAGAAAGTTCCTGCATGTACCTTCCCCTTCAATTCCTGTCCCCCAGTCCTCCTAGAGGCAACAATTACATTGATTTTTTTCTACCACAGATTAAATTTGGCTGTTCTAGGACTTCTTATAAGGCATGCAACATGTATTCTTGCGTGTGAGGTTCTTTCATTCAACAAATGGTTTTGAAATTCGCCCATGTTGATGAATGCATCAGTACTTTGTTCCTTTTAAACTTAACTGCATAGTATACCATTGCATGAATATACTGTAATTTTTTTTAATCCTTTTTCCTATCAGTGGATAAACAGGCTGTTTCTAGTTTTTGGATTTTATGAATAAAATTTTAGGTATGGGCATTCTTATACAAGTCTTTTAGTGGACATGTATTTTCACATCTCTTGGGTAAATAACAAGGAGTGAAACTGCTCTATGATGTGGTAGATTTACTTTTAGGTTTATAAGAAACTTCCAGATCTGTTCCCAAAGAGTTGTGGTTCATTGTACATTCCCATTAACAAAGTATGAGAGTCTGGTTGCTTCACATTCTCTCCAAAATTTGATGCTATCAGTCTTTTTAACTTTTCCATTTAGTGGGTGTGTAAAGATATCTCATAGGGTTTTAATTGGCATTTTTCTAATCATTACTGATGTTGAGCTGCTTGTCATGTACTTATTGGCCATTTGTGTATTTTCTGTCCAATTTTTTTTTTACTTTTTTTCTTTTCGTTATTAAGTTATAAGTTATTTATATATCTGGATACAAGTTTTCTGTCAGATATATTTTTTGATATTTTATCCCTGCCTGAACTTGCCTATTGATTATTTTACTGGAATATTTCGGTGAGCTGAGTTCCTTAATGTGGATGAAGTCTAACATCAATTTTTTTAAATGGTTTCTGTGACCAACCTAAGAAACTTTTGCCTATTCCCAAGTCACAAAGGCATTTTCCTGTTTTCTTCTAAAAACTTATGGTTTTAGCTTTTATGTTTAGATCTTAGATCTGTTTCAGGTTAATTTCATATATGGTATGAATAGGGGTCAAGGTTCGCCTTTTCCATATGCATATACAGTCATTCCAGCAGCATGTGTGCCTTCGTAATAGACAATGGCTTACTCAGTGTTTCACAAACAACATTCTGTCAATCTCATTTTATAGTTTGAGGGCTTTCTATGCGATAGAATGTTTTGCCAAAGAAGCTCATAATCTAGTAACATAAACAATGCTGACAATTTAATGTGATACTTTCTATATTAGTGGTAAGTGCAAAATACCATGGGAGGTAGAGAGAAGGGAGCTATGAAGTGCCATCATAGTTTTGCATCATGGTAAAAATAGCTCGCTACATACTCGGTATGTTGAAAACGGTTTAAGGAAGATACAGATTAGGGCTTATATTTTGGTTAAGAAACAAGAGACTAATTAGGAAGAATTTGCTCTAGGCCAAAATGGAAAATAAGTGAAGTTTATTGTCTTAATGGGCCCCTTTCTCTTCTGTGGGGACACTCTCTTGGGTTGTCACTTCCTATCCTTTGCTCCCTCAAAGCTGCCCTCCCTTCTTTGAATACACACCATAACTTCATTCTTCTCCGAGAAGACCTATCAAGGCCGTGGCAGCATTCTGACCCTCTCCTCTTTATTTCCCTCTTGTCATGACAGCTAGAAACAGCCCATGTCTCTTCCCTCACTCAGTGGGCGCTACAGTTGGCAATGGGCAAAAACACATCTCATAAATTGATTTATATTTTTATATTCTTCGCTAATTCTGATTTAATAGACCACCATCATAGGGGCACTTCCATTTTTTAACTGGGACTCCTGACAACATAATAACCTCAATTTGACCTTAACTGATTCAATTTCTCTGTGCCTCAGTTTCTCCCCCTAAACTTCATATAGTTTTGAGAATTAATTGCATGTAAAGTGGTTAGAACTGTGTTGGGGACATAGTCAAGCACTATCTAAGTGTTCGGTAAAAGAGAAGGAATCATAGATGGTACAGTGTGAGGCAGAGGCATTTGGGTGCTGGGGTAAGAAACTTTCCTAATGTGATTGTCACATCCTGTCACCTACGTGGCAAAATGTTGTGGCCCGAGATTGAAGGGCCCCAAATCCAGTCTGCTCTTAGAGACAAAGACCTGGAATACACAATGGCTCATAGGAGGGCCACAGAAACACTGACACATTCAAGACTTTTTAAGTTCGTGGATGTTTAAGTATGAAATACAGGCGCCATCTTCTGGTTATCCTGGGGAAATGAGACTTGAAGGCTCGGTGGCAACTCCAGCTGACTCCAGCCAGAGCCAAACCTCCAGGGATCCCTGGAACCTGGGCAGAGAAATGGGGGAAAGGCATGCACCTGCAGTTTCAGATGACAACGAGCTCTGTGTCAGCTTCGGGTTGCAGGTGTCAACCAAGGCCAGGGTCAAATAACCAGGGTTATGTACAACGAAAGGGAACTGTAGAATCCACCGTGAGGAGGAGCCACTTTATTTTCTTAAGTCCCGACATTTACCAAGATGAGAGGTCAGTGGACAGGCCAAGTCAGGCGCTGCTGACTGTGGGCACCAAACCCCCTGGGCTGCAGGGCAGGAAGCTAGGAACTTCCCTTTGACTTGGAGGCCCCTGCACCGTGAGGCCCCCTGCACCGTGAGGCCCCTGCACCATGTTTCTGGGTCTCTGTACACAGGGAGACATCTGCCTGCCAATAGGATGATATACCTATTTTGTGCCAGGTGCTGTAGTAGGCATTTTCATGTGAAGACTCTACAATATTATATGGTATTATTAACCCCATTCAACTGGTGAGGAAACCTCAGCAAACTTGTCCAAGCCCTCTCTGTTGTTAAGGGGCTGCATTCGTTTGCTAGGGCTGCCATAAGAAAATGCCACAGACTGGGTGGCATTAAACAACAGAAATTTATGTTCTCATAGTCTGGGGGCTGGAAGTCCAAGGTCAAAGTGTTGGCAGGTTTGGTTTCTTCTACGCCTCTCTCCCTGGCTTGCAGATGGCTTCCTTCTCTCTGTGTCCTCACGTGGCCTTTTCCCTCTGCCCACATCCCTGATGTCTCTCTGTGTGTCCAAATTTCCCCTTCTTGTAAAAGCACCAGTCAGATTGAATTAGATCCCACTCTAACTGAACTCATTTTAATTTAATCACCTCTTTAAAGGCCTGTCTCCAAATATAGTCACACTGTAGCTATTGGGGCTTCAGCACTGACTTTTCAGGGAACATGATTCAGGACGTACAGGGACCAAGTCAGGCTTGAACCTCAGGCCTCTGCTTTCAGCCCTTGTTCCCATCCACGTCCACAGTTCCATGGCTGTTCTGTCCTCAGGCATAGGCAAGATTTCCTTTCAGTTCATTTTGGTGGAAGTGCAAGGTGTCTAATTATCTAGGGAAAACTATCATAGAAATTCAGTTGGAATTCTATTCTTAGCTTCCTTTTAGAGTAATGAACCAAGGAAATGGGATCTTAGGTCTGAAATTCACTTAACAGTCCGGGGTGGGGGGACAGTTAACTCTCTGCTGAGAATACCACCTCTACATTTGTAGGACAATCTTTCACTGTCTGAATTCTGATGCTCACCACCTGGAACTCAAGAACCAAAGCAGAAAGATGCCTTGTCATCGTTCTCTTGGCTAAGCTGATGGCCAGTGCCCAGGACCAGTCAGACATACTCCTGTGTGCCTTAGTCAGGACTGACTTTCCAGTGTTGCACTCAGGGGCAGGCTCTGGGCCACCTGCTTCTTTCCTAGGCTTGTCCCACAGCCCAGAGGAAATGCCAGCCGCAGGTCGTGCTGGTGTGAGGGGACCAACGCTTGACCACAGCTGAACTTCCTCCTTCAGATGATGCGGAGCCTAGGAATGCAGGGTGTATCCCTGCAATATTCTTGTGACCAGATGGAGTCGAGATGCCCGAGTATGTTTCCGTCTCGGAGACATCTGCTTGCCACCAGCAGGCAAGGGCTCTGGCATGCCAGGGTGCCTTGGCTTTGGGCACCGGCTGCCATCGTTAGCACTAAGTCACAGAGCCGTGTGCTTCATTTGAAGCCAGATTAAAACTCTAGGAATTTATGAATATGAAAAGCATTGTGACTCTGTGGGTTGGTAGTTGTAACCAGTAAGATCTGATCATATTCAGGTGCTGCTAGTAAGACAATCACAGGCCAGTGGAGCAGAAAAGAACGGGGCTCTGAAACATCTACCTCAAGTCAATGCTGAACACTGAAAAGGGCTACAGTCCAGCAATACGCAGTCCCCATTTGAGACATATCATTGCCTCTTACCAGCTACGTGGGTGCTGGCCATGGAAGCTTACTGAGCCCCACCTGAAATGGGGATGATCATGTGCCCCAGACAATGTGCCCTCATAGAGGCTGGTTGGATTTAATAATGAAACAAAGTCATCTGCAAGAGGGTACTGTACATTCAGAACACAGTATACAAAGGTAACCTGTCCTTATTTTTAAATATGCCCTCTCCTCATTAGTACAGCTCTCCGCACAGATGTTTATAATAGTGATTTTCATGTTGTTTGATAGAAATGTGTATGTTTATTTGTTCCGATGGACTGTAAGTTCCGCGAGGGCAGAGACTGCATTATTCATCTGGTATCTGTGGACCTAGCTGCTCCTAGGTTCTCCGTCATTGTTAAATGAACAAATAAATAAATAAATAAGTAATGTTAGTCTACAAATTTATCAAAGGCATGGGGGAAATGGTATGGATAAGTGAAAATATATTATAGAAAAGAAAGTTCATAACTCTGGATCTTTCAGAGATATACTGCTAGTTTATGATATGCTCTTTTCCAAATTCAGCACAAGCAATTCAGTCCAGACTCAGTAGAGACCCACAAAAAGGGGTTTCTGGTACTGTTCATGGCCATGTCACCAGGAGCTGCCACCGAGAAAGAGAAGTCCCGGTGTTTCTCACTACCCACACTCCTGCCAGGTGAACTCTTGCTACCTGAAGGCATGCTATCCAGACTCAGAGCCAAACAGGCAAATAGGAACATGCTTCTGGATGAATCTTTCACTGCCTGAATTCTGATGCTCACCACCTGGAACTCCAGAACCAAAGTGATTTTTGCAAATATCCCTGGTAACCCAAGCAAATTAGATTCCTCAGCTTGGATTGAAAAGGATACCCTACATCCAAATATATTTATAACAGTCTCTTCATACATACACATATACATGTATATAGACATACACACATGCATATATATGTATATATATGATCCTTTTTTTTCTTCCAAATATATTTTTATTGATTTCAGGGAGGAAGAGAAGAGAGAGAGACAGAAACATTAATGATGAGAGAGAATCATTGTTCGGCTGCTTCCTGCATGCCCCTTCCTGGGAATTGTGTCTGAAATTCGGGGATGTGCCCTGACCAGGAATTGAACCATGACCTCCTGGTTCATAGGTGGATGCTCAACCACTGTGCCACACCAGCCAGAAAGCAACCTTTTTCTTGACAACACTTATCATCTATTGGTGTCCAGCATAAAGAACATAATCTAATACAAAATTTCTGGAGATTCTCCTGCCTAATGGCACAGTCAGGATTGAGTCTGCTCTGTGGAAGTATTTAAAGCTATAGCATGGTTGGTGGCACCCTAAGCCGCTTCTTAGGACTCATTGTCACTGTGGAAGGGGAAGGACATCCCAAATCTTTGAAGGGTTATCTCTGAATCGCTAGCACCTAGCACAGAAGTCACATTTAATGCTTCATAAGTGAGTACTTGGGACAGCTAAGAGGACAGTGGCAAGCACAGGATGCACCCCGTGCTAGAGGTGAACAGGCTGGTGTTGGCTTCAAGGGCTATACTTTAGCATCAACACTTAGAACGTATTTATGGTGTAATATGAACATTTTAATAAAGTATTTAGAACTCCTATGGATTCCGTTAACGCAAGCTACCTCAAATGAACAGCTTTTTCAAATAAGGTATTTTCTCTTGCAGTATTTTAAATCTTCAAACTGTATGGTTTTACTGCTGTTTATTCAGAAGAGAATAAAAATACATTAAAAAAATAACTTTACTCTGGAGATGGGAGCAAATTCTTACCTGTGAACCAGTGTGTTCTTGAGGCCACCGACCAGGCCTCGGGCGATGGTCTTTGCTCTGGGGGTGAGAATCGCTTGAGAGACATGGAAGGAGCCACGTGGGGCCCGCTCACTCAGAGTGGTCTCCAAGAAGAGGATTAGTTTGCGCACACTGGTGGTATTTGCCCAGGGTGCTGGGATCTTCTTTCCAGGCCACAAGAAGGGGTATTGCTTGTAGAAGGGGCAGTGATAGAAAATAAGAACCTGAGATGTCCAAAACAGAAAAAGTAAAGCAAGTCATGAACAAACTGAGTATCAACTCCTTGGCTTGACGCAATTGCTAGGAGGAAAGGCAAACAAATATAAACACATGGAATTCAAGAATTGATATATATATATTTATATATATATATATTTAGAAAAGTTAATATGCAAGGATTTAAGCATTTGCATAAATCTGAGTTAAAGATTCTTTTTTTAAAAATTTTGTTTTATTGCTTAAAGTATTACAAAGAGTATTATATATGTCTCCTTTTTTCCCCCCCTTGACATTTCCCCAGCCTCCCCTACACCCCAGTGTCTTGTGTCCATTGGTTATGCTTATATGCATAACCTTCGGTTGATCTCTTACCACCCTCCCCCCCCCCCCCCACACCTCTCCCTGGGCTTTCCGCTGTAGTTTGACAGTCTGTTCGATGCTGCTCTGCCTCTTCTTAACTTTTTTTTGTTAGCATTTTGAAAGTATGGTAAAACCCTGAACTCCTTCTCAGGCTATGATTTAAATGAACGCATAAAAAAAATAGACAGGATTACAAAAGAAATCAATAAGATGGAAATAGAGCTACGAATATATTAATTGAATTTGTAATAAACTGATGTATGTGTTTTATAATAAATATATTAAATAAAAATATTTTATAGTAAGTACAAGGTCCATAATTTTGAATTAATGATGAGTATAAATGATATTTCAATATATCTGCAATAGCTGATGTGTGATATGGAGATATATGTGATTTCTATAGGGATAAAGTCATAGTTACAGAGCCAATACTTCTGAGGGTGACTGCATCCATAATCTATGGGTATATACTTTTCAGTTAAATTCACAGACTTCTTATATTCCTCACACCAGGCAGAGAACCCCTGAAACTACAAGTCATGACTCAAATGCTCATGAAATTGGCACTGAGCTCTAGGACAGGGGTGGGCAACCCCTGGCACGCGTGCCAAACATGGCACGCCAGTAACTTTTGCTGGCACGGGAAACCCTCTCTTATAATCTTCCATTTGCAATTTTTTTCTTAATATCGACTTTTTAATTTTTCAGATAAATTCAGTGTAGGTCCATCTTAGATAAATAAATAATTTTACATAACAAGTTATCTTAAAGACCATAGACATTGATTGGGGAGAAGAGAAGGGAAGAGCAATTTCTATGCCTCTGCCTTAACTCTCCCTGCCTTCCTAGATTCGACCAGTGTTTTGGTTTCATCCACAAATACTTGTGAATCTTTATTCTCAGTGATGAATTTTGTTAAGTCTCGTAATAGGAGTAGCCTGACAGATGAAAGTAGTAGCTCGTGCATATCTCTGAAGGTCACGAAATATAAACCTGATGTAAAATCCCTGTCATCAGTGATGCAACAGCAAAAGTCCCACTGATAATATCAAATGGAGTCATAAAGTTTTCTGTTGGACTATCAGTGTACATGCATACATTAAAAAATAAATGTATTTTTCATCATCATATTCTGTTTTTGTCGCTCGAATGAATTTTATTATTTCTTCAAGGTTCTTCACATACGTACACCTTAAGAGATATCAAGTAGGCGTAACATGTTCTCAAAAAATTAGGGTTGGCACGCAAAAGAATTTTGAGTCAGAGATTTTGTTGGTTTTGGCACGCACTCACAAAAAGGTTGCCCACCCCTGCTCTAGGAGTTGAGATCAACACCGTGAACTTGTGGGTACTGATTCTGAATGAACTCTCCCTTCCCAGGAGGGAGCAGGAACGTACCCTAGGCAGGGAAGAAGACTTCTGGGAGGCGCGGGTCACCAGTGGGACCTCTCAGGATGGTGGTGATTTTGAAATAATTAGCAAGTCACATCTACAGCATTAATTAGTTTCTGAGACGCAGCTGAGGGACAGGGAGTTGCTATTTTGGTTGTCCCAATTCAGAGCTCTGCTGCTTAGGTTTCTAGAAGTAACATATTGTCCCCCCTCAGGGCACAGTGATCTCTGCTTGGAGGAACGCAGCGTGCTGTTTACACTCCTTGGACTGCAATCCTCCGGTAGCTGGACGGAGAGCATAATCCTCCAGGCACCCACAAAGGACTCTGAATGTGTGTTTTGTTTCCTGTGAGCCTTTATCTCTTAACCATGGTGCCTGGCTAACTGCTCCTGGAGGCCTACAGTAGGAGTGCCAGGCCCAGAGCCCTGAACGGGCTAATGGTTGTTCTTGTTTGTAATGGTTTTGAGTAATGTCTGACTGACTGCTAATGCTGTCTGTGGTAAACACATGTGCTAATGAGGTTAATCACAGGCTCACTGTAAGCAGATTGTCTGGGAGATCGGGGAGGATTTCCTGCTGGCGGGGTAATTAGCTGGTTTGGAAGGCTGGGGTCTCCAGTGTCCCTGAGTGAGGAAAGCTGGCCCATGGAACGGGCTGCGGGAGAGGCGGGCTGTGTGACCCTTGGACAGGGCCCTTCTGATCACTGACCAGGCTGCCTGCCCCTGGAAGGAATGCCAGGGAATGAGAGGACAGTGCTGCTCTTTCCTTAGCCTTTGTAAAAGATGCAAAAAGTACCAATTACATGAAAGGGATTTTATGCCTTTCCTGAAGAGCCTTCTTGAGTGATTTGATCCTAAAGGTTCCAGGAGAATTTCTATTTACAGTAGGAGATAGGACTAGCACACCAACTTTTATTCTACTGATTTTCAGGGGCAGTAACTCTTGTCCAGGGCCTGTGTTTGTATCAGCCTCCCCCCTCACTCTGCTGTATTTTTCTCTGAGATACTCTCCCCATCCAGCTCAGCAATTATATTCAGTTTTTCTCTTGAGATTCAGATTTAAAATATCATTTCCTTTGAGAATTATTCCTTCATTGACCTCCTCTTATTCTGATCAGTCCTTTCTGAGGCCCCTGGGATATGGATGTATACTATGTACTATTTTTTAATCGATTGGTTATAAAAACCCCATTCTTCGTATAGTACATTTGAGGCCATTTTATCTTGTAATTGTATGTCAGTTGCTTTGTATTTTGCTAGTGTTATGTATTCTTACTTTCTCAGTAAGATTCTAAATACTGCCAATCTGTAGATTAAATCTTCGAATTCATTATACCCTGAAAACTCATAGCCACTCATATACAAATATATATCTGTGAGCGGTGATGTAACTGCTTATGAGTAAATGAAATGTGACTGAATGGTGATACACTCCTTGCTATTAAATTGTAGTAATAAAATACTCAGGGGCTTACATGCAAGGCAGCTCATTACATAATGAATATTTAAAGCTTAACCACCAGTAGGGGACTGCCCAACAGGGAGGGATGACTGATGGCTCTGCTGTCTCATTTTGCTTTCAAGGAGAAACCTGTCAGGGAAAACTTTGGAAAGGAAGGGGGACAGGGACAGTCTAGAATTCAAATTGATGACACTCTCCCTTTTCCTGAGATGCCATCACAGGGTCTTTAGGCATATCTGTAGTGGAGGATACAGATTAGCCCGTACTTAACAACTCTGACAGATCATCACTGTGTTGCTAGACAGTCACTGTCCACACCATTCATTACTCCTGAAGACACCTGTTACTACTACAGATTCCATAACAATTTAGTGTGTGTGGTGTGGCATCAATAAAAAGAGTGTTTAATTAGCATAGTCTATGACACCAGTTGTGAAAATCACCAAGATGTGTGAGCATTCCTGGGAGCCTGGGAGCCTGAAAAGCTGAGGGAACTCTGGGGAGCCTGTAGTGGAATCCTGGCTCCTGTCACTCACTAACATGTTCTCCTGGGCAACTTGCTTAATCTCACTATGCCTCAGTTTTCTCACCTGTAAAGAGAGAATAATAACAAAATACCTATCTCATACTGTAGTTGAAATGATAAATGAGTTAATATATGTACTTTGCACATTGTAAAGGCTCACTAAATGTTAGCTGTTCCTGCTGTTGCTATTCCTATCTACACTAATAAAAGAGAAAAATGGTAATTGGCATACGGCGATACCGTTTTCATTGGCTAATCAGGGCTAAATGCAAATTAACTGCCAACAAGATGGTGGCTAATTTGCATATGTAGGCACAATGCAGGGAGGCGAAAGGGAAAGCAGGAAGAAGCCCCCTGCCACTGACAGTGATTGGAAACCCAGGGGGGAGCTAAGAGCTGGGGGGCAGGGCAAAGGCGGCCCCAGGGCCGCCTTTGCCCTGCCCCCCAGCCATGATCGGAGAATCAGGCGCCTTTGCCGCCCTGGCCAGTGATAGCAGGAAGTAGGGGTGGAGCCAGTGATGGGAGCTGGGCACGGTGGAAGCTGGCAGTCCCAGGAGCTAGGGGTCCCTTGCCTGGGCCTAAAGCGAAGCCCATGATCGCGGCGCCCCCCCGCTGCCACTGCAGGTCCCTGCTGCCCGGGCCAGACGCCTATGCCAGAGGCATTAGGCCTGGGCAGGGGCGGAGCCTGCAACCGCGGGGAGCTGGGGGTCCCCTGCCCAGGCCTGACACCTCTGCCGGAGGCCTCAGGCCTGGTCAAGGGGCCGATCTGGTGATTGGTGATCGGAGGATGATGAGGGTCAACTCCTCTGGCTGAGGCATCAGGCCTGGGTGGGGGGCGGAGCCGGGGATTGGGGGGATATGATGGTCCCCTTGCCCAGGCCTGAAGCCTGGGTCAGAGGCATCAGGCTTGGGCGGGGGGTGGAGCAAGCGATCAGAGGGAGATGGGGGTCCCCTGCCCAGGCATGATTCCTGGGCCAGAGGCCTCAGGCCTGGGCGGGGGCCAGAGCCAGTGATCGGGGGGAGATGGGGGTCCCCTGTCCAAGCCTGACACCTCTGGCGGAGGCGTCAGGCCTGGGCAAGGGGCCGATCAGGCGATTGGAGGGTGATGGGGGTCAACGCCTGAGGGCTCCCAGTATGTGAGAGGGGGCAGGCTGGGCTGAGGGACACTCTCTCCCCCCAACCCCCCCAACCCAGTGCACGAATTTCGTGCACCGGGCCCCTAGTCTATATATATAAAAGGCTAAGCAACTATCTGAATGATAGTTATGACATGCGCTGAACACCAGGGGGAAGATGCTCAATGCAGGAGCTGCTGAGCTGCGGTGACTTGGCAGCAGCAGTTCTCATGTGATGCACCTGGAACCAGAGAGGAGGGAGCCTGATTCTCAGGTGAGTCACCTGAGAACCACCCTCACACAATCTGGGACCCCTCAGGGGATGTGGGAGAGCCAGTTTTGGCCCGATCCCTGCAGGCCAGGTCAAGGGACCCCACCTGCTGAAGGGACCTGGCTCACTCCACAGATGACCTTCAAGCCACAGTCCTACCCCAGGTGCAGCTGGCCAGGGAGGGACCACAGGAGGTTGGCTCCAGGGTGTGTCTGGCCTGTCTCACCCAGTCCTGCCCTGCTGGCTACCTTCTAATTAATTTCCTTTCAATGTGCACAAATTCATGCACTGGGGCACCAGTTATTTAATATTGTAAGAAAGAGACTCCACAGGGGTAAAAAAAATCTCTCCAAATGAGACCTGTGAGTCTAAATGTATATAAACTCAGGTTTGGAGGAAGGGGTGTGGTAAATATTTGGCAAACCATCACTTACACATGTTTTTCTGAGGAAAAATAGCTTAGATAAATTTAACAGATACTAAGACTTAACTCATTAGCCTCTGTGAGTCTAAGGACTTAAGCGCTTTTATGAGTGTATAAAACAATCCAGTGTTTCCAATTGCTCAGGTCAAACCTGGGAGTTATCCTAGAACCTCACTTCCTTTTGGCTCCCCCTTCTGATAAGTTCAGAATCTGACCACTTCCCAACAACAGTCTCCTCCCTGGTTTCCCCTCTTCGTCCCCTCCCCCTATTCCTGGTCTCTTCCTGGTAACCAGAGGGAGACCATTACCACTAAGTCAGGTCCCAGCCCCCCGTGCTCAGACACCTTCACTCAGAGTACAAGCCCAGTCCTTACAGCGCCACAGGCCCACATACTCAGCCATTCTTCCTCTGACCTCCTCCATGGCAGGATCTGCTCTCCAGTGCCCCCTGCTATTCTTCAAAGATGTTGGCACACCCCTGCTGAGGGCTCTGCCAGGGTTGCTCCTCTCCTGGGAAAGCTCTTCCTCCAATGTCCATGTGACTAACTCCCTCCCATGCCATCTTGCAATGAGGGCTGCCCTGACAGACCTATTTAAAACTGTGACCAACTCTCCAGCCCACAGAACCCTGGCTCCCCTCACCAGCTCACCTTTCTTCTTCATGGCTCTTACCACTCTCTGCATTATATGGAATGTGTTTATTATGTTTACTATCTATGAACTGTCTCCCTCCACCTGAATGAAAGTTCCATTAAGGGGCAAGGATCTTTGTTTCATTTACTAATTTATCCCAAGTGCTTAGACTGGTGTTCACTTAGCACGCACTTGGTGTTCAAAACATATCTGCAAGTGAATGATCTTTAATAGATTTTTAATTAAAAGCTCTTCCGTAAGTTAATAACTGCCTCTTTAAGATGTTTTGGTTAATGTATCTGAGCAAGTGAGCAATTATGAATCAAAAGTACTTTTTCTTTTCTTTTTAAAGAGAGTCTAAATTGGAAGCTGACCATTCCTGGAGCTCTTGTTTCCCACTATCTACTATTTTTGGGGGATCAGAGCAGAATATATCTGAGGCCCACATTCCTTTTCTTGGGTAAATGCCTCCTGGGTCTAGGTTTGGGGACTCTTCTCAGCATAAGCAACTGGGGATTAGTCTCCAAGCCTGAATCCCTCCCAGGGCTCTTCCTTTCTTAGTTCTTTCCCACTATGACCCAAATTCTGTGAAGATGGCCTTTTAAAATATTAACACACCTGAAATGATCACTTCACATGCCTTTGTCAGCTGATGTTTTTACTTATCAATCAGTACTTGGCAGGAATGATATGACATTGAGTTGAAGGCAGGATGGAAGGGACTGCCCCGAGGGGAAACAGGGGGGTTAAAAGTGGACTTTATGGGAGAACGTAAAATGGTATGAACAACTGGTTCATTTCACAACTTTGCTAGGGCTGGTTCTGGCCAGGCCATTCAAAGTCAATTTAGATGCCAAACAGGTTGCCATAAAGTTTTAAATATTTGGTAGGTGTTCATCCCTGCCAGGGAAGCCCTTGAAGCTATCCTGGAGCCCAGGAGCTTGTGTGAGTATGTTTAATATTCCAAACCATCTATACCTTCTAGACTAAGAGCCCTGCAATGAGCCATCTTACAGCTGGCGATACAGAAGAGGCAGAAACAGTCCTGTTCTCTCATCTCGGTTCTCCTACCTGGCACTTCTTCTCCCACAGGATCTGCAGGGTCAGACTCTCCACATTGCAGGCAGAGCACAGCTTGTTTCCAAAGGCCTCCTGCATCCGGTGAACCAGATATTTGTGATGGGCCTCATCCATGGCGTAGAAGTGGTTGAAATCCAGGAAGACAATCTCTCGGGGGTGCTGCGTAAGAAACGAGTCAATCTCCATCAGCCCATCCCAGACCTTGATGCCAAAAAGTCCGTGGATGAAGTAGATCTCCTGGTCGGTATCCCCTGGCTTGGAGGACACACGCAGGTCAAAGTAGCGGATCCCAGCGTCGAGCTGCTCTCGGAAGGTCAGGTTCTGAGTCACAGACCATTTCTTCATTAGCTTCTTCACCAAGGAGATCCTGGCAAGGCGCATGACAGCTCGGGTTTGGTCAGGCCCCACTGGGGATTTCTCATCTACCCAGTAGCTGAACGAATCATGGGAGCCTACACAGAGGAATAAAGGTGAGGAAAACAGTTGAGACTGGACCTGGCAAAAAATATGCCAATTGGTAGGAAAACAAACAAAAATTAGGAGACAAATACACACCAAAAAATTGCAAACAAATAATTGCAAATTTTTTCATGCTTTCTAGGAATGAAATAAGCACAAATAAAAGTCATGCCGCATTTAGCAGCTTGTTAAGCCTGGCGTAAAACTGTAATCCTCATATATTGCTAGTGTAAGGTAAATGAATAAATACCTGTTTGGAAAGCTATTTAGAAATATGCTTGGAAAGAGGAGCTTGCAAATAATCACAGCACTTGATCTAGTAATTTCATTTCAGGAGAGCTATTTTGAGGAAATAAACTAATTTTGGAAAAACAAATGTGTGCTGGAGAATATTCATAACAGAGACAAACTGGAGGTGCTTTGAGTGTCCCTCACAGAGGAGTGCTTAATGGTGGCATACCAACGTCATTCACATAGCCATTGAAACAGAGGGTATGAAAACTCGATGTCCATCTCAGCAATGCTGGGATAGGCATCTAAATTCTAGGAAAGACAGAATTGTTTAAAAATTCCGACTATTTTTTGTGCTTTTGTAAATATTATTTTACTATTGTAAAACGAGTCCGTAGGGGACATCTTATTGAGGCTGCCGTGGTAGCAGCTGCTCTTCAAGTTCACTATGCCACTCAAGGACAACAACACGAAGAAAGATATTGAAAAGTTGGCAAAGAAGGACAAAGACCCAGTGAACAAATCTGGGGGCAAGAACAAAAGAAGACATGGTCCAAAGGCACAGTTCGGGACAAGCTCAATAACCTAGTCTTGTTTGACGAAGCAACATATGACAAACTCTGTAAGGAAGTTCCCAACTATAAGCTTATAGCCAGCTGCTGTCTCTGAGAGACTGCATATCTGTGGTGCCTGGGCCAGGGCAGCCCTTCAGGAGCTCCATAGTAAAAGACTTATTAAACTAGCTGCAAAGCACAGAGCTCAAGTAATTTACACCAGAAACACCAATGGTGGGGATGTCCTAGCTGCTGGTGAAGATGCATGGGCAAAAGGTCCCACCAGCTATACATTTTAAGAAATAAAACTTTATTAAATAAAAAGTCCATAGGAATGATTTCTTGACAGATGAGATGAACATTCTGCAAAGTTCAACATGGGTTAGTTATATGGCTTCATTTCAACTCATCTATTAATGAGCCGAATCTGCTATTCAATGATCAAAAGCATGTTCCCATCCTCTGCCTGAGATGATCTTATTGTTATAAAGCATAAGTGACCATGATAGACACATTTCTAACTTTAGTGAGGAAATATTTCTAAGGTGAAAATTATCTTTAACAAATTAAAATGCTTATTTCACACTAGTTGATTATGTTACCGGTTTTACTAAACCTCAAAGTATGCATTTCATATATAATATGTAGAACTTGCCCTGGCCACTGTTGCTCAGTGATTAGAGTGTCGGCCTGTGGACTGAAGAGTAGTAGGTTCAATTCCTGGTCCCAGTTGAGGCACGTATCGGAGGCAACCAGTTGATGTGTCTCTCTTACATCAATGCTTCCCTCTCTCCCTCTTTCCCCCTTCTCTCTCACCCAAACCCCCGCAAAAAAAGAAAAAAAATATATAGAGAACTTTACAAAACTTTACTGTTTCTGCTTTATTATTTCAATTTTCTTGAAAATAAATCATTCTGGGATGGCTTTGTCTTCTACTATTTTATCTTCTCAGAAATAAAGTGAAAAAGGAAAAAAAAAAAGGTGACAAGCAATGCTTTATTTTTATGTAGTTTCCAGAACATGGAGAATATCCAGTAACTATTAAGAAAAAATATATTTACCAATCATTAGGCAAAACCAATTTTGCAAGCAACAAAATTACTAGCATATTTCAGGTAAAAAAAATGCTGTTACTACTAGAAATGTGGAGCAAGCCCTCCCTGGATTTTCCATATTGGTTGTTTCTGTTCATGACACTCGCTGGATACCTGCCTAATGCTCTGCTTCCTTTGGCTGTTCTTTGGCTGTAAAAAAACAGGAAATCTTTATACCTCCTCATTGAGAGATTTATTATGAATACATTACATACACACGATGAACAGCCCACTCTCTCTTCTCTTTAAATCATCTTAGCAGCCCAGCTGTTTAGGACTGTGTGCAATGCAATGCCAGGGAGGGTATCAGGGAACAGCCATTATCCAAGCGAGGGAGGAGAGACAGATCCCCTCTGGAATTGTCTTGTTGCTGCTGAGCCAGTTTCGTTTCCAGAGGGAGATGTGCTAACAACCTCCAACACTGTTCTCCTAAGCTGAGGACTGTGCAGCAATGTGACAGCGATGGGGCCTCAGCGACCACTTCTGTATACACAGGGACACACACGGTGCCCAGACTGTCCCACAGAAGAGGGAGGGCCTGCATATGCACTGGGAACACAGAGTCTCTCTTTATCTCTCTGCTCCCTTTTCCATTTCCTCTCTTCCTTTCTGACATCCTGTGTCCAGAGCCACCCGCTCCCTCCCCTTGACAGGAAAGGACAGGACAATGGAGCAGATTGTTCGCTGCATGTTTTACAGTAGTTGTCCTACCCAGGCCCACAGCCATCAAAACCAGCCATCATCTTTAACTACTGCCAATGCTTTTGACTGTCTACTTATTTTTTCCCCCAGGTAGCTTTTTGCCTCACATAGAGTGAAATAAATTGGTACTTAATTCTATTTAACTATTTCTTTTTTTTTTTGAAAAACAGGATAAAAATGTCTTCCCCCCTCCTGCACACAGAATATTTACAAGGTAATGCAATCTGCAGATCAAAGTGATGAAAAAGCTAAGAACCATATGATTTCACGCATATGTGGGATATAAAACTGAAACTTGTGAACACAAACAGCAGTGTGGTAGCTGCCAGAGGAAATGGCGTGGGTAGTGAAGGGGGTTCTAACATATGGTGATGATAGAAGATCTGACTTTGGGTAGTGGGCATACAGTGCAACATATGGATCTTGTAACAGAAATCCATAACTGAAACATATCTATCTATCTATCTATCTATCTATCTATCTATCTATCTATCTATCTATATAAAAGCCAAGCTACCAGAACGACGAAACAACCGAAATGACAGGAGCGACTGGTCGCTATGACACGCACTGTGGCAGCCAACCCCGATCTGGGCCCCGATTGCCCCCCCCCCCCAAACCTCCCTCAGCCCCTCACCCTGGCCAGCCCAGCCTGACAAAATTCATGCACCGGGCCTCTAGTAGGATCATATTAACCAATGGCACCCCGATAAATTTAACAAAAAAAAGAATGTCTATAGCAAGGGTTCCTTTTCTCTCTGTCTGCAATGTGTGGATTCAATTCATGCATTCCCAGAGAGGAAAAGAAAAAAGCCTGCTCCACCGGTCTTCCTTTATTCTCTAAGAGAATGGCTGTCTGGGTTGTTAGAGGGGCAGCTTCATGATTTCTCATTTGTTTTCTGATAAGGTTAGAAAACAGCTAAGGACCTCTTCCTGCTGTGATTTCTGCCACAGGGATGCCTATCCATCTTCACTCCTCCCTCTCTATGGCTCCTTTATCTCTGTCTAAAATAGATTTATGTGGTGCCCTTCATCTTAAGAACAGAACAAAGCACTTTCCCAAACATGCCTTATGCCTTCAGGCAACTGTCTCCTCTTCCTCATTCTCAGATTCTTGAAAGCCAATCCTGCTGCTTCGTCACCTATGATCTACTCCCTTCTTCCCATAGAAGGATAGGCCACCTCTTATCCTTCTATTGCTAACTTTGATCCCTATTACCTTCAAATCAACAACTCCAAATAGGCTTTATTCTTGCTGGCTTCTCTGAGAGTTTGCTAAGTCAGCTTTTTTTCTGCAAGCTTCCATTCCCTTGTCTTCCATGATGCATAATTCAAGGCATTCCCATCTTCCTGTTATCACTCTCTTTCTATCTCCTTTGCTGGCTCCTCATCTTCCTTCTTGTCCCCAAATTTAAATGTGTTCCAAGGATCTCTATTATCTGCCTTTCCGCACCTTTTCATTCACTCCCCTAGTTTACACAGTTCCATTGTACAGATGACACCAAAAGCTCATCTCTAGACTAGATTCTTCTAAGTTCCACATTTGCTTCCAACTTCCTGCTTTGGTCTTCCACCTGATGGCCTCCTCACACAATAAATTACACATTTTGAAAGCCCAGCCACTCAGGCTGTCCGTTCGCCACAAAGTGCTGCTATTGAATTTCTGCCAATACTTCACTCAGTCACTCAGATTGAAACGTTGGATTCAGTTTAAATTTTTCCTTCTCTCTCCCCCTCTGCATCCAATCAGTTACCAAAACTCTGCATTTTACTCTTGCAAAATACATCAAACCAGTCTCTTCCTTTAAACTTCAATTGCCACCCTCTTGTTCACACATTCATTACCCTGATATAATCAGGACCAAAAGAACCCTGATTTTATCTTTTGACTCCAGCCTCAATTCATTCATATCCAAAAGTTACATCATCTCAAGATACTTCTGATTATGTCATTTTCCTCCTCCCATCTCCCTCCCAAGCTAGTTTAGGACTCTCTCCAGTGTGGCTCCAGTGCATGGTTTCAGGCTCCTTTCTGTCAAGACCCATACACGGAGCCTGGCATATGTTGGTGTGCAATATATACTGATAGGCAGGCCACTTCCTTGACTCTGTCCACTTTCTTTTACTGACTTCCATAAATATTCTCCTATCCCAATTCTGTCCACATCTTCTCCTCAGGATTTATAACCCGTATCAAGTAAGTTGCTTACTGCACCTCAGTTTTCTCATCTGTAAAATGTGCTCGATAGTGCCTACTCAAAAACTGTGAGTATGAGAATGTACGCAAAGTGCTTGGGACAATACCGACACACAGTAAGCACTGAACTATTGTTACTGTTATTGTTGGTCATCTGTTAGTTAGAAACTAGAGGGAGGAAGGGTGATTGACTGAAATCCTTATCTTAAATACTT